TGACCATGGACGCGCTTTCTTGCCCACTCGGGTATTTCCAGGGTCGCTTCCCAAGGGTCCCAGGTCACAATTCTGTGTATGTGATAGGGGCTGAATCAGTCTTCCTTGCGGTGAATCACCTTGGATGTGGGTATCTCACCTGACAATCCTACAAGTGGCCAACCTAGGAGCCCCTGCCTGTACATGGCCCTGCCGAGAGAACCCATGGCAACCAAATTCAGCTGTGGTTTTCTTGGAGTTGGTGGAGGAGGGGGTCCTTTGCACTGCAGTATTGAGAAACAGATGAGGGTGCTGAATGCTCTTCACCTTTTAACAGGAGGCTGGGGTAGGGAGGAGATGACTTTTTTTTTTTTTTTTTTTTGTGCTCAGGATGGAGCTAGCCCTGTTTTGTTTTTCACCTGCTCGCTTTCTGTGGTGCGCTGAAAGATCCACAGTCGCTGCTCTTTATAACTACAGCCTGCACATTTTCTCCCCCTCTCCCTGCTCTTTGGAGAGCAGCCAGATCAAAATGGCTGTGATCCAACGCCAAGAATCACTCCCTTTGCTATGGAAATGAGGACTTGGAGGCTGCTCACCATGTGTTCATCAGAGAGTTCCTGCTAAGGATGATGAGCTGTAGGTGGGGAAGAGGGCAGCGAAGGTGTGCTCTGAACAAATCCGTTTGGAACAAATCTGGGTATTTTTGGATGCATCTGACTCTTTGCATTTTTTAAAAGACATTTATAGAAAACCAAAAAATTACCCTTGCCATCAAATGGTAAAAATGAGGGAAATAAAGTAGTGGAATTTCACCGTAGGATAAAGGGTGTTTCCCTTCCATTAGAGCAGAAGGGGTGGCAGACCTCCCGGTATCTGATATTTGAGATAAGCATTTTTTTGTGGTGTTCTGGTATTGATCAAGCGAAGGAAAGATATCATTATCCAAGCTATACAAATAATCTTTCTCCTTAGCTATCATATCCACATTCCCAGCATTAAAGTGGACAAATTGCAAACCCCCTGGGTATACGATACGTTGACACAGGGCAATTTGCTGCACGTTAACTCAGCAAGGCGAGTTTAAGCCTTCGCTTTACCTTCTTCTAAACCATCAGATTCTAATCTTGATGCACAGTGGGATGGGAACATTGCCAGTGGGTGAACCATCATGAAAATCGACTGTGCACAAAACAGGGTACTTTTCCCTTCTCCTGGACGAGTTGCACACCCCAGGCAGATGAGCGAGTAGGGTTTTGCTGCAAAAAGACCTGCGAGGTGTGTTTTCAGAAGGGAAAGGGCTGAGCTGTTCGCAAGCTTCTTGCGGTGTTGCAGCACGTTGGGCTTTGCGAGAACACCCCTGCTTCTTCAGGGTGGCCTGGTGTCACCTTGTGTGATGGAGGTGGTTGGGAGGGAGGGAGGGAGAGGGCGATGCTGCTCTCGCACCCTGCAGAACTTGGCAGAATCGAAGCCGTGGATGCAAAACTCTGCCCTGCCTGCCATGCAGAGCCCAAACAGCTTACGGCTGGGAGGAGCTCTCTCGGGATGAAAATGTCTGACAGGTCTCTGAATGAGTCTACACAATAAATTAGTAACTGGGTGTGGAACTGCATTTTTTTATGATGTATCTTAATTGGGCCTCGGGCAGCTTGATAGTGCAGCGTGTTTCTTGTCTTTTGGGGATCTTTGCGTTGAAATGCACCTTTTTCTTTGTGCGTGATTCAGCGGGGCTGGGGCTCAGCTGGGATCATGCTCTGAATCCACCCAGGGAAGGGGGCTGGTGCCCCCGGATGGTGCCGTGCCCTGCCCTGCCTCATCCACCCACCCACCCACCCTCCCTGCTGGGAACGGCCACGCGTGCATCCCTGGGGAGCCCAGCAAGCCGCCTGCGCTGGCAGTGCTCCACTCGAGGCACGACGTACCATCTGCTTCGGCAGAGTTTCTCCCATCCATTTTGGATAACTTAATCTCTTCCTTTGCCTGATAACAAACCAAAAACCTGCATCATGCTGTGAGCCGAGCAGTTGTATTTTTTCCCCTGAAAAAATGGGTGCACTTCACTGCCAGGTGATTATCTGTCCCGTGTGCATACTGGTTTGTTCCTAATATTTCCCAGTCCCATTGCATGAAAGGTGCTGTCTGCCCTACGGCTTCAGCCGCTCCATCCGGTTGTAGAGCTGAACACGAACTCTCAGGGTGTTTCGTAAAAAGAAATCGGTGTCTGGGTTTTTGTGCTCTTACCTGCTGGCTGGAGCTGGAGAGCAGCTCCGGGTTTATGACTTCCCATTGTACTTTGGTGTCTCTGGGTGGGTCCAGCGTGGAACAGGCCTTTTATTTGTGCTGTAAGTGAAATAGTTGGCAGAAAAGATGTATTATGCAACTCTATTAACTGATGTTAAGTACAGAGGAAGCCTAAGTTCATCTGTAATGTGATAGAAATCATTAAGAGTTTATATACATATCTTTTTCCACGTGGACATCTTAAACACCCCAACCATTCACAACATTTTGCATTTAAAAACTACACCTGTTTTTTCTTAACCTGCATGAGTTCTTAATAAAGTGGTGTTTGTGGCACTTCTGTAGCTTTGAAATAACCGAGTTAGTCAGGGAGATTTAACAGGACATCAGTATAGATGCCGCAGGGAAAAGCCACCTACTCGCAATGGCTGGAAAGAAACGCAGAGCCCTTCGGGCCTGTGTCACCAGCTCGCAGTTGAGGTCATCAGTGGCTGAAAGCTGTGGCCCATGTGAAAGGGGTTGTGGCCTCCACCCCCACACCTGGGGACAGATGTCCCCATTGCAAAAACAACCCCGTCATCGATGCATTTATTATCTGCATTGGCAGAGAAGCCGGCTTTTCCCCGAACGGGTAACTCGCTGCCTGGGCTGTGACCCTCGGTCTGGGCTTTGCTCTTACCCTCAGACTGGTGACTCTTCCACCTGGGCGCCGGGGTGGAAGAGTCACCAGTCTGAGGGCAAGAGCAAAGCCAGTGCCAGTTCCCAAATGCTTCAGCTGGACATGGTCGGGAGAGCTTGTGGAAAACGCTCTGATTATTTTTTCTTACCTATGCAGAAGTCAGAGCATTTCACTCGATAGCTGCCTGTTATGTTAATTGTAACATTTTTCTCCGCTTCAAACATATTACGCGACTGCTTATTTCCCAGCTCTGATGAGTGCTTTCCTCTAGTTACACAGCTTTTTGTTGCTGTTAATTTTTTTTTTTTTTTAACCTCCGAGACGACAAATCAGCCATCATTCTGAAGTCTTTTTTTCACTACGCTTTCATGCAAAGCCTTTGCAGTTCGAGACAGGCGTGCAGCCTCTTATCGCGTTTGCTGCAGACAGGCTGTGCAGAGGGAGTCGTGCTGGAGCCGTGCTCAGAGTCTCTCACGTGAGAACGTCAGGCTGGTGGGTCCGGAGCAGGATGCTCTGTGAAGCTGAGCAGTTTTTCCCAGCCTCTGCATGTGCTTGGGGACCTACTGGGAGGCAAGAGAGGAGGTGAACTCTGCTTATATTAATTTTTTCAATTTTTTTTTTTTTCTTGCTTTCCCTAGAGACTGGGGCAGAAATATTTTTCTCATATGTAAAAGCAAGATGCTATATGGAGGCTCCTCGTTCTCCTGCAAGCCCTGATTGAGGGCGAGAAATCTCGTACGATGGGAAAAGTCCTTCCCAGATGCGAGGGCTCCGTAGGTTGCATACACAGAAGGATATGCAGTCGCTCGCTTCTAGGGTTGGTGTTCGCACGTGGTGGTGTTGCCCGTGTCTTCTTCCAGGGCTTGGGTGCTGGAATTTTCCATGCCAGTCCCTCTCCGTCTATTCTAACTCAAGCCCTCTTGAAAATGATTTTGCTCAAGAGAAGGAGAAGTGCTACAGACACACTAAGTTTGCTGGAGCCGTGCTCAGAGTCTCTCACGTGAGAACGTCAGGCTGGTGGGTCCGGAGCAGGATGCTCTGTGAAGCTGAGCAGTTTTTCCCAGCCTCTGCATGTGCTTGGGGACCTACTGGGAGGCAAGAGAGGAGGTGAACTCTGCTTATATTAATTTTTTCAATTTTTTTTTTTTCTTGCTTTCCCTAGAGACTGGGGCAGAAATATTTTTCTCATATGTAAAAGCAAGATGCTATATGGAGGCTCCTCGTTCTCCTGCAAGCCCTGATTGAGGGAGAGAAATCTCGTACGATGGGAAAAGTCCTTCCCAGATGCGAGGGCTCCGTAGGTTGCATACACAGAAGGATATGCAGTCGCTCGCTTCCAGGGTTGGTGTTCGCACGTGGTGGTGTTGCCCGTGTCTTCTTCCAGGGCTTGGGTGCTGGAATTTTCCATGCCAGTCCCTCTCCGTCTATTCTAACTCAAGCCCTCTTGAAAATGATTTTGCTCAAGAGAAGGAGAAGTGCTACAGACACACTAAGTTAATTTGAGTCATTAGCTTGTTTCCATTACTCCTATCTGCCTAGGAAACTAATTTTATTATTTTTTTAGTGAGATTTTGGAGTTAGAAGAAAGAAATGGAAGCTAGCGAACATGTGGAACCACTTCACAGGAACACCAGATTTTGAGAGCTTGCATTTTTATTTACATCTTCTGGACTCCGTCTGACTTGAAAGTAAACAAGTTCAATCCTAGACCAGATTTATTCCCAAAAATATGTGGAGACTTGTCTAAAAACTGCTTTTAGGATTAGGAACTTCCTTTACTGCAATAAGAGAATACATTTACAGTGGGAAAACTGATGCTTAACTGGCACATTCTTTCTGTAAAACACCCTTGGAAGAGCAGTTCAGTTGTGTTTGGTGCAAGACAGCCTGAAATTTTATTTGAAGAAAAAAAAGGCAAAACTGGCTGAGAATTTCACAGGTCTAAAGGAAGGTGCAGGAATAGTGAGTGGAACTGTATTTCTGTGTTGCTGGAAGCGGGGTGATGGTGCAGACGAGAGGGTCCTTGGCAGGCGTCTTGGGGGCACGCAGGAGGTCCCTGCACCCGTAACTGATCTCCTCCTTTTGACGTTCCTCTTCTCTGCAGACACAATGAGGCGAGTGGTACGACAGAGCAAATTTCGGCACGTGTTTGGCCAAGCGGTGAAAAACGATCAGTGTTACGACGACATCCGCGTCTCCCGTGTTACTTGGGATAGCTCCTTTTGTGCAGTAAACCCCCGATTTGTTGCAATAATTGTAGATGCTAGCGGCGGCGGAGCGTTCCTGGTGCTGCCTTTGCACAAGGTAAGTGCTTTTTGAAAGTTTCTCGCTTTTACGTGCTCAGCTTTGTTGTCGTTTCAGCACTTGTTTACAAATAACATTGAGGCTGTGAAGTCTCTGCTGTGTTGTGACAAACGCTGCTCAGTAGTGCCATGTAAGAATCCATTTAATGTCTCTGTAATCAGTCTGATGCTTCCTGTACATTAAACATGGTAAATAAGCGGTTTGCTTGACTAATCGGAGCCAACTCTTTATGGCAAAAGCTTCCATGTAGAATCATACTCCTAATGAAGCCTCTTTATTTATGATAGCAGGAGTCAGGTTTTTCTACTGTCAGGGATTCAGCCTTTTGAGAGCTCTGCAAGTGTCACTTAATTCAGGAATGCACCTGAACCTAATTACTCCTTGCAGCCCCATACGGGATGGATGCAAAGGAGTGAGCTGGTTCCAAGTAGGACATTTCCATAGGCCTGGTGGCCCTGGCATCTGAGCTGGTCTAGGCTGCTGCCAGCCCCTTCGGTTACTGTCTCTGGATGGTGTAAGACAAGAATAATCTTGGTAGGAAAACTGCTCCTCCAAGTACCGTTGCAGCTGTCCTGCAGTTCTCCTGGTTCGCAGGGCTGTGTCTAGGCTTTATTATACATCAGCCAGATCGTGTTATCCCCTAGTACCTGAGAGTACTGAGGAGAGGGGCTTCATCTGATCGTGGGCAAGGAAACACCCCTTACGTTCTCTACTGTGCAAAGCGCTGCCGAGCCTCCAATAAATAATCTTTCAGTGAGCCCGTATAGACCCTCTACTTCTTTCTACTTTGAATTTTACTTGTAGAAGCTCAGGGGTGTGCTTTGCAAAACCCGCAGGAATGTTAGGTTCCTGTCCATCCGCCATGAGAATGGCTGGATCAAAGATTTGGAGGGAGGCTGAGAAGATGGGTACAGAAGCCTTCCTGGCAGTCTCTTACAACGCTGTGGTATAGAACATGCAGATGAGCAGGAGTGGAGGCTCAGACTGAAATAAATTCCTGGTGCCTGGCTGATACCACATGGAAAAATCGCAGAGCATCCCTCTTCCACCCTTGTTGGAGAGCGGTGCTCCCATCTCCCTTTCTGACGCTCAACCGGCAAATTCTTGTGACGATAAGGCTTTTTCTGTAACAATTATTTTCTTTGTGACCCTCAAGCTTAAGTATACACTTAAAATGTCCTCACTCTGTCATCAGCTCTGTCCTTTTTTCCTAGCTCCATTTGCAGATCTGCCCTGTTTATATATAGAAATAGTGACCAGAATTGAATATAGCATCCCACATGGCGGGTGCATTACAGGAACAGAGGCAGCGAGTTCTCACTTATGCCTCGGTTGCGCTAAGCGAAGCGAGCCAAACCCCTCGCCTCCTGAAATAGCTCTCCACTTTGCTCATCGTACTAACAGCCCTTCTTCGCGACTATTCTGGTTTGTGCTCGTCTTCGGGCCACGTGTCCTGCTCTTGCCCAAGCTGCGCACGATGGCACACATCTCGATTAGGAATTCCTTGCTCAACACAGCACGCAGTTGCGCTCGTGTTGCATCACGACACGACCAAATGCAGATGGCAGAGGACGCGCACCCTTCTTTTTCTCTTACTCCCCAATGTTTTCTTGGTCCCTGGCAGAAATTCCTCCTAATCCTGAGTGATTTTTGCATTTTTAAGCGCCTTTAAGCGCCAAAAAAAAAGTTTGTTTGCTTTTTACCTTGATTCCTCCTGCCCTCCTCTGTATTTGTCATCGCCGCTGTGCCCTCAGCGACATTCCCGTGTTCCCGTCTTGTCTTATACATCTATTTAACATTCATGTATGACAAGGTTTCACGCAAAGCTGGAGGAACTCCGTTCCTAACCCCCCCGGCCTGACACGTTCTTTTGCAACGCGACGCGTTGCTGGCTTTGCTCTAAACCAGTTCCTGTGTCCCTCGTTTATTTTTATAGCCTGGGCTGATGAAAGCGTTCCTTCGGTTCCTTCAACACCCTAACATTTTCTGTTGGAGCCCGTTGAGCAGAGGTGCTCATTCACTCCCCACAGCGAGATCCTCGCTGTTATATGCAGGGGGGTGGGGAAACCCAAAAAAAAGGAAGGTCAATTTTAAACCACGGTTTTGCTAGGGTTGTAGAATTGAGCCATAAAGAGACACTTGCTGTTTCGGAGCCTTCGGGAGGCGGCCGGGGGCCCTCCCGTAACTCGCTGCACGGCGGCCCCGCGCTCTGTGGGTCACTCCGGATTCCTTCTCATGTGGCTTGACCTTGCGCCAGGGGTGAGCCCAGCCCGTGCTTCAAAGACCCTGTGTAATCACAGAAAGGCGGTTTTCACTCATTTTCAACGTCCTTTTTCCTTTCCAATTTTCAGTAATACTGTGGGGGGGTTTTCGTTTTGGGTTTTTTTTGGTTTGGGTTTTTTTTTTGGGGGTTTTT